GGGGGGGGGCCAAGGGATGGATGGCAGAATCGCAGCCTTTACGCGCATCACTGTTTTCCACATGTGAACCTCCCGGGGACCTTCTCGCTTCCAGCCCGAGAGCACGCGTGCAGTTACTACAGAAGGCAATTGTGATTAGGGGGGCTTAGCGTGTCCGCGGTACAAGGATGGGACACAGAGGGACGTCGGCCATGCCGAGACGGACAGCGCACGCAGCTCGCATCTGGCACGGTGATAGCCATTTTTGCGATGATTGTGTTCTATTTCGGCTGCAGCAGTTCACTTACACCGTATCGTATCCCCGCCAGGTCATGGGTTTGAATCCCCGCAGCATCGGTAAAAACAAATCCAGCAGCTTCGTACCAGAAGTGAAATGCTTAACAGAGACACACCCTGTATCCCCGACCACAGTGCACGTTCTCTTCGGGTCTCTTCTCGGAGTGACCTTTGACCTGTCCCCTGTCGTGAAAGTGGTCTGGCAGCTGGCCCCCACAGTACCGCAGGCACAACCGGGCTCCACTTTGACACACCTGTTGAGCTCGATTGAACCCATCAGCAACACTAAGAGGACCGACGCGCAGCTGAGCACCTATGGCGAGGAAGGAGGGGGCCAGCTGAGGGGGGAGGGGGAGGCTGGCAGACTTCAACTGAGCTGGACAGAAAAGCACTGCAAGATGTGGTGCTTGTACATGCTGACACACCCACACACACACACACACACACACGTTTGTATTCATATCTTCATGGGGACTCTCCATTCAATTCTGTGGATACAACCCTAACCCCGACAATGACAGCCTGACCCCTACCCAGCCCTAACCTTAATCATCAATAACAGGTTTTTATCGCATTGCTTGGACGTTTAGTCCCCACAATGTAACGTACATCTGACCCCCCCCCATACACATACACAGCGCCTGTACCCCCCACACTACTTTAACATTACAGCACAGTGGCTTCACATCTCCAGGGCTGTGGTCAGCAGCGGTCAACAGATTGGGTGACACAGGCGGGTGCCGTCTTAGCAAACCACCAGTGCTGAACAAAAACCCCCCTGGTGCCGACGGTGAAGCTTGTCTATGGCTCCACAGGGGCATCCCATCCAGGGTGTCCCCACCTGTGACTGCCTCCATGCCTAGAGCGGATGGATGGATGGATGAAATACATGAAATGTTAAGCTAATGCTCACCGATGGGCGGGTAGGGGTGAAAGGGGGAGGGGGGGGGCTTGTTTACTTTACAGAATAGAAGCAGGAACAGCAGAAATGGGATACAAGAGTGGAGGAAGCGAAAAGTGGAGTGCTGACGTTATGTTATATAGCGCCTTGCGGTGTGGTGAGGTGTGGCCTGTTTCCCACATGGTCAAGCCTGTAACTGCCGCTATAAGTCACGCGTGGCACAGTGGGCCGCGATCCCACATCCGCCCGGCTGCCCAGCTCCCCTTTCACTTAAATATTTACAGTTCCATTATCCCAGAGCTGTTCACTTTGTCTCTTTTTCCGCCTCCCCCATCCGAGAGGGAAGCCCCCATTCAGAACTCCACACCCTTCAGAGAGTCAGGCTCATTTTCCTAGTGGAATGTCCGGCTCTTTCATATGAACGAAACCGTAAGCGATGTAGGGGCTAATGAGGCTGCTAATTAATATAATCAGGATTTCTGAACATGAATAGCATTCTGCTAACCCTCAGAGATCATGACGTGGTATATCCAGTCAGAGCCCCATGCAGCGTCAGTGTCTGTTTGGTATGAAGCTTCATTTGAGCCTCTGAGTTACATTCCCATGCCGTCTGATTACTGCAATTATCTTATTTTCATCTTTTAATTTCAGCTATTACCGTATTCTTGTTATGATTGTTAATAACGAAACTCCCAGATCAGCTGTTCTTAGTCTGTGCTGATGATGCAGAGCCTGCCTGATCCACCTGTCTGTGCTGATTACAGCAACTCATTCACATCTAACAGGAGCCTAAGACACAGAACGCCCATCTCCGTCCTGATCGAGCACCAACCTGATCTCTATGTTTAAAGTTTTATGATTTGAATACATCAAATATGAGAAGATCACATGTTTTTCGTGCCAGCCTGGGTGATGAGGAGTTAACATCTCGTGACATTCCTTATATGTGTGTGTGTGTGTGTGTGTGTGTGTGTGTGTGGGCGGGGGTGGGGGGGGAGACCATGGGATTGGGGAAGAAGCAGACTGGAATAGAAAGGGAGGAACTGAAGAACGAGAACGAGAAGAATGAGACGGAAAGGAATGCGGGATTTTGGGTGAAACGTTAGGTGAGAAACAAGGAGAGATAAGTGAGGAAAAGCATGGAAGGAGAACAGAAGGGCCTCTAGCGCGACAAGGTCATGATAGGGTGCATTATGGGTAAATCATAAGGCATGATGGGAGATTACGAAGAGCTATTCCAGTCCGCAGTCTCCAGTGAGAAACCAGTTCACAGAGCCATATACTGAGTGCGTGACGCCTGCTCCCAGGGCTCCCATTATACTAATCGGATCGGGGGAGCTGCTGTACCTCAAACGGCTGGGAATGGTGCCGATCGGGAGGCTGATACGCTGTGATTCACCAGATCCTACAGCCAGAAGATATCATGCTAATCTTTTAACAGAGCCTGATTAACCTGGTAATAAGTAACTGCAGCAGTCCTTTGCCAGTCACTCTCACGGACACGTTTTGGGAACGGAGGACAGGGTAGCGGAATGCACAGCTACCACACGCAGAGAGTGCGTCACTCTACCGCTCACTTTTCTCTAAGGCGGCCGCCAACAGTCAGGGCATGGACAATAAGTGAGGGCGATGGGCCATTAACCGCCTGCCGTTTGTTTCCATATAAGCCGCACACATCCGCCCAAGCCATCGGCCCGGTAAAGGAATGAAATCAGGCCCCTTTTGCCTGGTAAGGTGTGGAGACGAGTGCAATGTAAGTCCTGCCACAACTGCAGTGTTCAGAGACCAGAAGTCTGTGTTTGGGGCTGAGAGGAGCAGTGTGGGAGGGGCTGGGGGCTTGGGGGGGGGATGGAGGGCAGACATGAGCCACAAGCCACTGACCAGCAGCTGGCTCTCTCAGGCATGACAGATGGGCCAAGATCAGTATTTAAAGACCAAAAACAAGCAGGAAGTCTGAAAAATCCCCACTGCCCGTCTCTTCCAGTGCTCAGGGGGCGGGGGCTCCCTACGTTATTTTACAGTATGTGATTTCAGCATGTTGAATCCTTTCATGCCCCGTCTGCATTGCTGACTATTTACTGTTAGGATTCAGGAAGTCAGCTTTAATATACATCTATTCGCATGGATTTATGTATGCACTGATAGCTATGGGCCACAACACCATTTTAAATATATAGTGGTGTATGTTTTGGCACGGGGCACCCCGGACAAAGTACGTTTCCTTCAAGGATGCATTTTCTGTTTGGAGCATGTGGTTTTCAGCGCCATGGCGACGCCAGGAGTCGCGTTCCAGAGGCCCGTGGAGGTTCATGGGCGAGGTTTCTTTCTGCTGGGGGGGTAATGCCTGCCATGAGTGTCTCCCTGCCGTTGGAGATGCACCTTCCCTTCAGCCATGGGACTCTCACAGTCCCGAGGTCCCCACGCTGGCCGGAGGCAGACAAGGCAGTGAAGGCATATAGCTCACATATAGCTCTTGTCCTGCAACCTGAGTTGCGACGTTCTAGACGCATTTCACTGTGCTTGAGCTTTGTACCCTGACACTATTCGTTATTGCTCACTCAAGGACGAGGTCTCAAAGCACCGATCTGCAGGTTTAATATCACCCGGTAAATGTTTTTAATTCATTACTGAATTTCAAGATTTAAAAAAGATGCAATGTCTATGTTCTGCTAATCTGCAGGACCCTCTACCGCAGGAAGCATGACAAGCCATTTTTACCCCAGAGAATCGTCTTCTCCTATATGTGCCTGGAGGTCTTTGTCTGGGTCAGGTGGTGGACAGAACCGTGTGACCTAGGGGTGGAAGGATGCAGCGTGGGGGGCTTTATTAGGGTAAAAGAGGGGAGGCAGGTTTGACAAAAATGGAAAACAAAGGACAACAAATGGGAGACACCTAGGGGAACAAAATGGGCGTTGGGTCTAGGGAAGATTACAGTGGGCGCAGAATTAGGCAAAGGGATCTGGCCAAGTGGTCTGCAGCCTGTGAGAGATAACAGAAGCCAATTTTATATTACTGTAATTCAGCACCGGGATTGGCCCAGGCTAGTCACATGACTTTGCCCTGCCCCAGAATGGCCACGCCCCTTCCTTATACTCTCATGGGAGTTTCTGTTTGTTTTCCTCTCTCCCAGTTCTTTTCAAGCTGGATTTATCACCTAGATGATTTATCAGCTATATGCTGCTAGCTGTGCCCATGGTCTGAGTATTTAATTAAAATGAATTCACTTAAAACCCTTCTGACGGGTTACTGAGTAATGCTGTGAAAAAGCCTGTCTGCCATTCAGGGTGAGCAGGCGTCTGGCCAAGGAGGCGAGCGGTGGCCCAGGATGAGGGAAATACTTATCAAGTGCAGCCATGAGGCTCGGGGGAGAGAAGGTGGGGTTTTGTGAGGGTCTCTGTTTATTGTAATTTACATTAGGGGCCTCAGTGATGAACGCTCTGCTTGATTGGTGCTCCCTGTGTGTGGTCCGGGTCCAGTGACACACGCCAGTCTCGAACCCCTCCACACGCGAGCCCTCCACCCCCCCCACCTTCTCCTCCGGGCGTGTTTACACTGGCGGGTCATGGCGGCATCATGTTTCCGCGCCAGCCGCTCCGCGGTGCTCCTGACGACGCTCAGGAGGGGGGGGGGGGAACCGGACGGGCAGATGGGGCCCAGGGGAGTCACATCCTGACGCCCAAGGGGGAGCCGGCGGGGTGTCCATGGGAAACACCCCTCACCACAGGGGTTGCCCCCGCGCTGTCGGGACTCCGTCGAGGGGGGATTCTCACGCGGTCGCGCAGCTGGGCTGGATGAGGACCAAATCTGGCGGGAGGCTGTGGAGGTGAGGACTGGGGCAGACGAGGATAAACTTTAAAACAATGATTTATACGCGCACTGTTTCCCTTGGCCGAAGTCTCAGGGATATCTGTCTGCTTCCCACAGTGGATCGGCCATCACTAAATCCCGGTGCGAGGACGGTCCATGTGACCTGCGCGAACAACAACAGGTATAAGCGTACGCGTGTCGGGGCCACGTGCGACCCGCTCTGAACCGTGCGTCCAAAGCCCGGCATCTCCTGTGACTGGCTCCCCAGGTCAAATTACACGAATGCAAGTGTTTCTCAATCCGGTCCTCAGGGAGTCAGAGCTGCACCATGTTTTTGCTCCCTCCGAGCCCCGAGGACACTGCACTAATGCGTACACAGAAGAGCTGATACAGCAACGGATACACAAATAAACGAACACGTGCCAACAGATGGGAGAAAATCAAGTAGAGAAAAGTGAGCAGGGTTCAGTATCTCTCAGCCCCTCCAGGAACAACATCCCATAAACCCTCCCCCTCACAGGCCAGCCCCTCTTTTTGTGGGTTTTGTGGGTTATTCAAGGTACCGGAGGTCCCTTCTCTCTTTGTTCTCTGCACCTGCACTGGGAGTCGTTGATCATGACACCCTATCTATGAGGACTTGTCTGTCTTTCCCCCTGCATCAGGAGATGGACAGTCTTGCGTCTGACAAGGAGCCCACCCACCTACCTATCCATTCATCCATCCATCCATTCATCCATCCATCCATCCATTTTCTATACCTTTATGTCCTATGCAGGATCATGGGGGCCCAGTACAAATGTCTGTTTAAATTGAGTCCTATCTCTAAGAGGCCCAGTCTCTGACTCGAGAGTCACATCTAACCTGGAGTCATGCCTGTGACCAAGAAATCCTATCTGTAAGACGCCAGGCTCTCTGTCTGTCCTGTGTCCGCTGTGGAGCCACGACTGTAAGACAGAGGTTTAATACGCCCTTGTGAGCAGAGGGGGGAGCAGATGACATCATTCAGTAGAAATACGGTACCTCTGAGGATGTAGTTCTGGTAGTTCTGGTCCGCTTCTGCTCCCACCTTTATTAAACACGTCAGGCCCTCGGCCATGACAAACTCATGGACCAAGTCTTTGTCATCCTGAAAGGCAGCAGGGATGCAGCATGACACATACACCCAACAACACAGAAGCCTTACCAAGGGGACCCCCCCACCCCCTGCAGGTAATAGACAATTACACGAAATTTGCAACAATTTAGTAAGAACCCCCCCCCACCGGGACAGTAATTTTACTGAGCCCCCCCCCCACTCCCCACATTGTGAGACCCTCCCTCTGCCCCTCCCTGCCTGCATCCTGCTGTTATATGGCTGTATTTACATTTAACAGTAAAAGAAAAAGAGAGATTTAACTAAGAAAGAATCATTTTTTTTTTTTTAATTCTGAGGTGTTTTTATTAATGTGATGTTTTTCGCTGGGAGTCAGGCTGTCCTGGCGGGGGGAGAGCAGCCCTGTGCAGCTGCACATTTCCGAGCCTTATTTAAAACGCCAGCGGTGCAGTACCAGGTCTGTACGCTGTTCTGTGTGTGAGGGCCACAGCTTAGTGTCCTACACCTGCCTCATAACTGGCTCTCGGACAGCCAGAGGTCATGTTACAGGCCTTATAATCTGTCCGGGAGGGAAGCAATTGAAAGGATGAGCCCAAAGGCCCCACTTCCGGCATGCGAACCTAAGAACATGGTCACATGACATGCTCTGCGACCCCTTCCCTACTGTGAGCTTTTCCACAATTACACGGTGCCTGGAAAGAGATACACCGTACACCAAAAACAAATGACAAGTACAAGACACAAAAGAGTCAGCACAATATCACTGAAGTTCTAGCAATTTCATCTAAAGCGTCTTTAAATTGTTATCCTTTAATACACTTTAAAATTTTACTGGAGCAATTCAGGTTAAGTACTCTGTTCTAGGGTACAACAGCACAGCCTGTTTTAAAATGTTCCGCTGAACATTGACTCCTGGCTCCCAGTGCACTTGTTAAATTGTCCTGGCACTAAGAGTACTAACAGCAGTGGGGGATATTCCATTATCGAAGTGCGATATTGGTCACGGAGCTTTCAGTCGCACTGAGGCTGTCCCTGGAACAAACATACATCTGAACTGAGAGCAGAAACGGGGGAGGGACGACAGGCGGGGGGAAGTTAACCCTAACCCTAACCCTAACCCTAACCCTAATGTCCCCTCAAAGCAGGGAAGACATGTTCACAGAAATAAAGACTTTAACTGAGCTGTCCCCCTTTTGTCCCCAGGACAGCTGTGGGGACATGGCGTGCCTCAGCGTGACCTCACCTCACGCTGCACACAGTCTGCCCTGCTCTACCCTCTGTATGGAGGTGACGGTTTGGCCACCATCTTTTCACACAGCTCTGTATGGTTCTCCTTAAACATTATCATATAGTACAAGGGGCCCTGTTAGCATCCCAGTAGCTAATTCCTTTAGCTTATCATTAATAGTACCATATAGTACATGGGTTCTGTTAGCATGCTGGTGGCTAATTGTTTTAGCTTATCGTTTTATAGTACCACATAGTACATGGGCTGCGTTAGCATGCTGGTGGCTAATCTTTTTACATTATTTTTTCTTTCAGAAGAGAGATAGCCTAACTGTGTAAATATGTTAACCGCTCAGAAACTGGTGTCACACAACTGTACAGAAATAGATCAATGAATAGTTTAAGAATTTTCCGAGTCGACGAACGACACGGAACACAGACATTACAATCTGTCACCACTGAGACAACGGGCTTTGTGTTTCTCCGACTCTGTGACCTTCTGGTCGCGGAGAATCTGTCGGCAAACGTTTCCGCTCAGCTGCTCGGGACGCTTTGAGACCTACTGTCCCAGCGAATCGGAAACAATCAGCTGCCGGGGGCCACCGACCCCCCAGTGGGTGTTGGCATTCAGCACGTGCGAGAGCTTTCGTGTGTGTGTGGCTGTCTGCTTGTGCATCAAGGGCAGATGTTCTGTGGGGAAACACGGTAAAAAGCACAATAATGAGAACCTTGATTTTACCTGGAAGATCTGCTTCAGGGAGAATAGAGCTCTTCTTAGCTCTCGTCCATTGGAGTTGTAGAGTTTCTCTGTATAGAGGGTAAGGAAGAGAGAGAGAGTGTAAATTTAAAATCATGATGCTTATCCATTAACGCACTCTGAATTATTTCTTACAGGCCAGTATATTGGCGTACTTGGACAATCGGGGCACGTTTTTACTCCCTGTCTCCTCTAGGGGGCGTGGAAGCACAGCAATCCATACAATACAGTAGGTAGGAATGAACCTGACGCATGTCTGTAACGATCGCTTGTGTAAAGCGGCAAACGTCACATCTTAAGGAATTCCCGGGCAAGGAGAACTGGACCTGTCGGAAGGAGTGTCCCGGGGGCCATAAAGGAGGGCGGGCCCCCCAGCGTTAACGAGAAGGGGTCCTGTGTGACCCTGAGCCCCGGCCACAGACAGCAGGGGGGCACTGAGAGCCGCCCCGCAGCAGCAGTGTGGGCAGGGCGGCGGATTCCTGAGAGCCGCGGCGAGCGATGCCAGTCCCGCTCACACACGGCATTCTCACTATGCCACAGCGAAAATTATATGACCGTTATTTGGAAACCGGGCCCTTTCCCATCCAGAATACATCATTACCATCCCACTGCAGACAACAACAGTCCGCTCTCCCGTCTCTGAAAGGCCCCATTCCATTGACGGCGAACGTTAAAAGAACGAAAGGGATGCTACCCGGGCCCCGCAGACACGGGGGGGGGTTTGGGGGCGGAGCCAGACGGACAGGAGCTGCCGTCCAGACGAGACGAAGCGAGGAATAGCGAAAGTCGGGGAGACCACAACCTCTGCAAAACAACTCGTAAAAAGCAGACATTCGGCAGTGACGCCGAGGCCAGGAGGGAGGAACGTTAAATGTACGTCTAAAAAAAAAAAAAACAAAAAAAAAACCTCTGTTCATTTGACCATAAAGAATGATTTACCAGAAGGGCTCCAGAAATAATCAGGAGGTCAGTGGTTCTGAGCAGAAAAGAACACCAGAAGGGCAAAAAAAGTGCTTTGTCTTCACCTTGAGGTCAAAGCCCACATTTTTACCCCAAAATTGGCATTAGTGCCCAAACATTAATAAAGGCTGGTAATGTAATCAGCTGAAGCCTTTTCCCAAAAGACACGTTTCACAGACAATCGCAGTGGCTCAGTGAGCAGTCCGCTTGCCGTAATTCACTCGCTCGGCCCTTATGGAACCGCTTCGTTTAGGGACTCCCTTTAAGTGCCTGTTCCCGCGTGGAACCTGATCCCGTTTTTTCTCGCTCCCATCAACGCCGCAGTCCGAACCAGCCTCACCCCTCTCACACTCTTAATGAGTCCCGTCTTTCAGAAACGCTAACTGTGACTGGTAACCAGACTGGGACAAATGGGCTAACATGCTCTTTGCTGGCCCCCTGCCAAGCTGCCCCCCCCCCGACACACACACACACACACACACACACACAAACGGCCACATACACACTGAAAGTGCGAACTGTCTCTGAGGATTACTGTCCCGGCGTGAGGAATGCACAGCTCACACGCACCATAAACCCTACATAGGTGGGCCATCCTGAGGGAGGGAGGAAGTAGCTGGGGGGGGCAGAAGGGGTTCATGGGAGCAAAGCCCCTGGGGCTCACTGGGACATGATGTCCGGGTTCCGCACTGAGGCCTGCGACAGGAATGCCCCCCCCCCATAAAGGCACACCAATCATTACTGAGTAACCTGGTTTTTCTCGTCCTGCCGGTTGCCCTGCGTTCATGACCCCGTAATGACCAAAAGCAGAACCAGAACCAGAAGTCAGTGATCATCCTGACAGGTGGACAACTCCAAGAGGGAGACCCAACGCCGCATTAGGTCCCTGTAGACCTGATTGTGGGCCTTGGGGTCTCGCACATGTTCGGCACAATGGGGGGAAATTCTGAGCCGAAGGCGTCTGCAGGTGGGACTTCATTAGCAGCTACGGCCGGAGACTTTTCCACAGCTGAGGGGAGACGCTGGATCTCAGTCAGACGCTCTCAGTTTAGGAAGGAATGCCGGAGGGCGAGCGGAGAGCCAGCGGCTGGGAGAGCGAGCCGCAGGCCGGTTGTTCCCGCTGCCGTCAGGGGGATCGAGATCCGAGAGGGACGGAGGAATGAGTAGATTTTGTAATGTGAGAGAGACAGAACGGAACCAGGGTTGCGTGTGCCCGCCCGCCCGCTTGGGTGTCAAACGCGATAAGGCTCACACTAAACTCGAATATACGTGCGCTGGCTTTTCCTTTCACAGACTGACTCTCCGTTTCCGACTCTCTGTCATTTTCCAGACATAAAACCGACCCGGTATAAGGCCCGGATTGCCGAAAGGCTCAGCATTACGGTAGTTTCTTTAACTAAATCAGTATGTTTGTCACAGGCGATTAGCAGGCACAAGGCTAAGCTAAACAACCCGCCCGCTAATCTAAAATGTCACATCTGAAAGTTCTTCAACCCACAAGACTGAGTCACCTAGGCCTGCAGCCCGAGAGAGACACAATAACGGCTTGGCAGGAGCTGCACGTTAAAGCACACAGCAATGGAGGCAGGAAAGAAGCCCGGAAACCAAGAGTGGGTGGGACTGCCGTCAATCACAGTAGAGTAACCAATGGGGTAATTCCACTTGGTAATTGATGCCATAAAACAATCCCGCCCACCACAGGTTTTATAGTTTTGTGTTTTTTCCATCCCTGGTGGGGTCTTCTCAGTTTAGCTGAAGCAAGGCATGCTGTTCAGTTAGAGAGATCACTAGCTACCGGGCGCTGCAACCCAACAGGGCAAGAGGACGCAAAGCTGTTGTTTTGCTGAACGTCCATGCTGCCGCTGCCTTATGGCTGCCGGGGCCAACTCCCTCAGGGCAGCTGTGACAAATATAGATGGTGAACGTTGGCTGGGAGCTGTGAGAGGGCTGGGAGTGAGGGTCACAGATTCTCTCTGAGGTGAACGTGGTTGTCCTCAGTGGCGATCTCACTCTGCACAATGATGCAGTTTTAAAAATAGTGGAATCGTGGGTGTAGGCTTTGCAACGTGAGGCCTTTGAAGCCAGAACTGATGCCTCTTGACTCGTGCTAGCTGTCACCCTCGTGTACCCTGAGTTTTACTCATCTTCGGTACTGATTGGCTGAGGCTTGTGACCTGGAAAACACGTGAGGAACCCTGCTGTTGTACCCTTGAGCTTTTAGTGCTTAACTTGCTTTGTTCCACTAAAATCATCTAGCAACACAGGGTTTTAAAAAGCAATAGTTAAGAAGTCAACTGCAGCCATTAGGCAAATGCAGAGCCCCACAATTACAAAACACAAGGCCTTTGGTCGTTTACGATGCACCTGACCTCTGCAGGGTCTCTAACAATCAAACCCAGTGTAACTCTGCAGGTTTTACTCCCCTAAAGAACAATCGCTCTTAGACCTGTGCTCTGGGCCCCCTTGGCTGTTCCAGATCATTTCCTGACCACTGGTTCACCTGCTCTACCTAATAATGGGCTCGATGAATAAAGTACTGTAGTCTGACTTACAGTAAATCACGCAGTTTATTCCCTGTTGTCCATATGAGAAGGTTCTCGACACCTGAATGAAAGAATGATGGCTGCAGCTGATGTACTTTGCATGAAAAAGGCAGCTTCTGGTATGCAGGCCAGGTGGGCATCGGGCACTCAGCCCCCCCCCCACCCACCCCCACCCTGTGCATGTCCTCTCAGGCACCCCGCTTCAATGCCGAGGACCTCAGCCATGCACTTCCACGAACACGAAACAAAGCAGACGGAAAATTCACAGAAAGGCGATTCTCTATCCCCCCTGAAGCACATGCGTCCTCAGGTTCACGCCATGTCCAGCGTGGCCGCACCCATTCCGATTGCGTGCCCATCCATCTCCAAGTCTACATTAGACACTTGGCACGTGCCGCCCAGTGGCAAAGATCATTCCGTGGCATATAATTTCTTAAAGAAAAAAACACCCGGTGTGAAAAAATTAAACTTGTGATTTTCATTTTAAAAAAAGCCGTTTTTGAAATTCCCCTTTAACGTCCTCCAAAGCTGGAGGAGTCCCGAGTGCAGTGAGCAGTGGAGAAGCTTAAAGCTTCGCTTCACAGTTCAGCCATAATTAAACGCCCTCTCTGGAGCAGCTTCTTAAGCACACTTCTATATTAAGTTCAGCTTCACTATATTCTCTCTTTCTTCGGTTACTCGCCGCTCTTATAGCTTACAGTGTTTACACTTTCAGCCATTTGTAAAACTGTTTACTGAGGCTGTTCTATTTGAGGCTTGGATTTGAACTTGTAACCATGTGGCTCAAAGGGTGGTCTGTGAACCATTTAGCCACCTGCTGCCCCCCTGCCCCTAATGACTCTCCTGAGCTGGTTCACGATCCCCCCCCCCCAATGGAAAGCCATCTCCATAATCATCTTCCGTACCAAGGGGGAGGTAACAGGACCTCACCTGAGGATCAGAGGGTAGATCTAGTTTCCCTGTCTGCTAGGGTAGGGACACCCAGCCATAGCCTTGCTGAATGGATGTTGGCATGATCGTATTGCCAAAAAAACAATAGTTTCTTTGCCCACCACATACCATGCGTTTATGTTTATCTCAGTCTCTCTTAAGGGGATACAAACACAAGCACAGACTGTATGCCTGTTTATCTGATCATCTGTTCCTGGAGATCACAGCAAACCAAGGCGCGAATTCCATGAACATGGTCAATTCTGATGCTCATCCTGAATAAATGCACGTGTTTGCTTTTGCTTGTAAGAGGAGCAATGTTGAAGAGAGACAGTGCGACCTGAATTATTAATCGCTAGGCATATGGTCTCATCAGACAGCAGGTGGAGGGTATAAACATTTCTGCTAATTTCAGACCTCCAGAAACATCCATCCTCGGTGCCTGTTTATCGAGCACAGAAGCCTGGATTCCCTCCCAGGAAGCAACACAGCCCAGGCAGGATGTCAGGCCAACGCAGGGGTCACACATACGAAGGGACACTTTAGACTTGCACGTCACCTCATCTATTCCTCTTTGGGCCACTGTAGGGTATTGAAGTAGGTGGTGGCAGGGGGTTGGACGCCAACTCTGGAAGTGTGATAGACAGAGATTTACCCAATGAGCTAAAACTCCACCCTTCCAGGACCACAACAATGGCTGCTGCACTATCAGACAGAAACTCACGCTGTGTCCCAAAAGCATGGGGTCATTCTCTTGAATCCAAAACCAGATCTAATCATTAACCAGAAACTTAACGGGCAGGTAAAGGGACTCTCTCATTGGTGAATGCTAACTAGGGGGAGGAGTTACCAACAGATTCTGATGTAATAGCAAAGAGAAGCTCAATACATGCTTGTTCCTTGTATATATATGTATTTTTTAAAAGCCCGCAGTTAACTGCTAACTGGCCAGGGTCTGGCAATTCACTGGGTGCCGAAACCACACATGCAGCGTCTCGTAAAGCCCAGAAGGATCCCGAAGGTCATGAGGAGTTCTACCAGCACCAAAAAAAAAAGGAAAAAATGGAGTGAAATCGGCCAGTAGAGCTGGGAGGCGGATCTGGACCAAGCGGTCGGCAGTGACCTCAACTGGACGCAGTGCGATAAGAAATATATCAGCGCTGTCGTCTCCAACAAAGAATCACCTAAAGAAAACCCCATAAACACGCTGGCGGAGAGGGAGGCTGACGGAGAGGGAGGCTGACGGAGAGGGAGGCTGGCGGGGAGGGAGGCTGACGGGGAGGGAGGCTGACGGAGAGGGAGGCTGACGGAGAGGGAGGCTGGCGGGGGGACGTGACCGTGACTGGGAGCAGGTCGCCGGGAGCTTGTGTTGGAAACCAGATGTGCGGCGTGTGACGCGGCGGAGAGGCCCCCGACGGGCACGTTTCACTGGAGACACCTGTTACGACCTGAGAGTTTGCGAGTCCCTCTCCCCCTCTGCCCATTTTCCGATATTCACAATCCAGGCCTGACGATTTCGGTGAATTACACATTTTTTTCACTAGTCTTTATCCAGAAATAAAAAGATTTTGGCTGTTTTCTGAAGAGATGTCATGCTTCTTCATTTTCTTCTCGTGGAGTCCCTCTAAGGCAGGAGTGGGGAACCTGTTACATGGAGGGCCGGTGCAGGTTTTTGGGATGGCCTCTCGATCAGCCAATCACAGTGGGTCCCCAGGACTGGAGTTGAGATCCACTGCTTTATTATTGGTTGATTGAGAGGCCATCCCAAAAACCCGCACTGCCTCTGCATGGATCAGGTTCCCCACCCCTGCTCTAAGGTCTATCCCCTCTTCACGCGAGACGGCAGCCATTTGTAATAGAAGATGCCGTGCGGCGGACGTGGCGGACAGGAGGAGCCTCTGATGCAGAGAGGATGTCGATGGCAGGCTGGGGGAAGTCCCCGTATATCGAATTTTGCATCGGGATGCATGCCTTAGGTTTCCCGATTGCCCATGATCACAAACACACACCCAGTTTGTCGGTCTATCGTTGTGAGGGTTCAACTTTGACTCTACACCAACAAAGCTTAAACGACATAAAAATCGACAAAAGAAATGTTAGGAAAGCATGATTATACACACTTATACACACAGAATAGCCCTCCGCCTCTACTGTCGATCATAATCTTACCCATGTTATGTGCAGTAAATAGCATCTATTTAGATTTCGTTTCATGTGGTATGTTAACAAAACTCTATGACTTTACTTTCCAGAGTGGTTTCAGAAAGATTACCACACCACTGGGGTTTACAGCTCCTCGTTTTTTCCTTGCTTCGCATTTTCCAGTGTGTGACAAAGCTTTGAAACTAATTGCACCTCATTAAACCCAAGGGGGAAAAGACCTTTCCACATTTAAAGTACGACCAGCACAAATAAACCTTGCCAAAACCTTGGGCAAGAACGAGCTCGTTCCTCGGGGAATACCCTAATGGTGGTCAGGGCCGGCGGCTCAGCCTTCGGCGTAAACAACACAGGCACACGCAGCCATCAGCGTCGTCTGATGGACTAGTAAGTCCACGTTCTTCACCTAAACTGAGTATCATTGCCTTGGCAGATACACGAGTCTAATGTCCCTAAAAAAGGCCACTTTGTCCAAATAGGAGGACATTATATACCTTTAACAACAAACCTTCAATGAGAACTTTCAGGCCTAGTGGAAGGCTGTATGTGAGAGAAGAATATTTTTGCCATTGTGGACTGGCGTCTTATCTTTACTTATCTTTTCTGGAAATACTCTCCAGGCTGATGGAAAGATGGACGAATATGTGTGGGATATTGGGAGATATTATACCAGAGATACGAACGCATCAATTTTGTTGAGTCTCTGGGATGCTTGGATGGCAATTCTGTTGATGTTGAAGTAAGCAAATACATTAACATCTAGCTGATAACCCTAGTGACATTCAGGTTTTCTAAATCGGGAATGTCTGGATGCTAACACAATTGACCTTCAGGTTATGAAAACCAGTAGCATCTGGATGCTAACACAATTGACCTTCAGGTTATGAAAACCAGTAGCATCTGGATGCTAACACAATTGACCTTCAGGTTATGAAAACCAGTAGCATCTGGATGCTAACACAATTGACCTTCAGGTTATGAAAACCAGTAGCATCTGGATGCTAACACAATTGACCTTCAGGTTATGAAAACCAGTAGCATCTGGATGCTAACACAATTGACCTTCAGGTTATGAAAACCAGTAGCATCTGGATGCTAACACAATTGACCTTCAGGTTATGAAAACTAGGGATGCACCGATACCACTTTTTTGGAAAACGAGTACGAGTACGAGTACTTGCATTTCAGTACTCGCCGATACCGATACCGAGTACTTAATAAAAACATGATTTAAATTTTCAGGTAACAGCTTTAGTCATATAATTTAACAAAAAAAACAAGGGACTAGTTTGGAATTAAGAACATTTATTTAAAATGAAAAGCATGTTGTATGCAACATATTACAGAATAAATAATTATAAAAAAAATTTAAACAGTGACAGTGCAACTCAAGTATTTTTTTCAGTTTGTTGTAAACTCTGCTGTAAATGACCGCAAAATGGTGTTGTGTCTCTTTAAATTAATTGTACGTGTTACGTGCATTACACCGTGAGGGGTGGGGTAAAAAAAAGGGTAATCAGTTCATCGGGGAGAAGCGTGAAGATTTCTGTTCTTTCAAAGTACATGGAGAAAATTGAGTTTTTTGGTGAATGCAGTTTGATTCAGCTCAATTTTTAAACTTAGTACCCTTTGGTAAAGCGGAGCGAGGTATGTGAAGCTGACACATGTTGCATTTTTGTACTTTATTTCGAAGTTGTATGGGCTCGCTTTATATGTCATAAGCTCTTCTTATTAATTTTACTGTAAATTATTACTTTTTTGGTTCTTTGTAAATGTGCACCTTATTTGTGACATTTATTCGATTATTGTTTTTTTTGTGTAGTTTCACGGTGCTACGCAACTAAAGGCTCAACGGCGCTCTGCAAGCGCGAAATAAAGAGAGATAAGCACCCGTCTGAAGCACTGTGTCCCGTTATTTATCGATACCGAAGGGCAGCTACATCTGCCACTTTGGACAACACAAGGGGCATTAATAAACAACTTTGCTATTTAGTGCACAATATTTGAATAAACTAACAAGCACTCGGCACCTGTGATTAACCCCTTAAACGCCACTCAAACATAGACATTTCTTAGACCGTGGTATCGGTCCCCGGTATCGGGGGACTTTTAACGAGTACGAGTACTTTAGAAAATGTGGTATCGAGGCCGATACCAGATACCGGTATCGGTATCGGTGCATCCCTAATGAAAACGAGTAGCATCGGGATGCTAACACAATTGACATTCAGGTTATCAAAACCTATAACATTTGTGAGCTAACCACAGTCACTAATGTTCATGTGAAACAGCCAGGCCGCACGTATGACCCCCCCCCACCCCCGGCTTCACTCGGGCCATCTGGGGGTCATACCCGAAACCACTTAGCCAGACTATCAAAGCTGACATTTTGATGTTTTCACTTGGGCCCAAGTGTCATATCAAGATGCCCTTTTCAAAGTAGGTTTCTCCTCAAAGTAACACGAAGTCCTCTGATACCAGGGCCGGCCCACCTCCACGCCCCCTCCCTCTCAGAAAAGGGCTTCTTAACAATCATTTGCTGAAGCAGTTCTGGGAAGCATAGGATGTGTGTCAAGCGTTATCCAATCGTCACCTAGTGTCAGCTATATGTGTCACATGATTGGTGGGGGATCTATGATGATATGCAGCTTTTTATCTGCCTGATGGGGCCCCAAAAGAGGACCTGAGATGGGGGGGGGGCATTCTGGCTACAGCTCTTTATGATAATCTCACTTTATGTGCCCAGAAGGTAGCAGATGACCTTGTTCATGAACCCCAAGCTGGTCGAACAGGAGACTGGGCCCCGCCATTTTAGTCCGGGACACAGAGGTGCGGCGTTGATATCCTCGTATGTCCGACCCCCCTCCCATCCCCCGCCATGCCATCCACGGCGATTTAATGCCGAGGTGGCGACACGACAGCAGACGGGTGATGATGGAGGAGCTCGCCAGAATAGACCGCCTCGAGGCCAGACAGCGCACCGTCAGGCTGTGACCCCTAGGGAGCGCTACCGAGCTAATCTGGCTTAGAATGGGGCAGGGAGAGAATCTCAGGTCAGGAAGTTGTGTAAGATGCTTAATGACAAAGATGAAGAGGATTATGAGACAGAAAAGACCTTTTCCACACCACGACCCCATCAGGTATACAATCACGCACGTTATATCAGTGTATGTAGGTATAATTGTCACTGGAAACAAACAACCCACACTGGAAGGATAAAAATTGTGAAAAACGCTGTATGCATAACTTTCTACACAAAAATACAATCCTAATAATAATAATATTCCTATACTAATAATATATTAATATAATTAATAATATTCTTTGGGGAAAAAAACAAGTAACAGTGCCACTCAGTAACGGAGCAGGAGATGCCTTTGAGAAGTCTGGAGGAAGACAACCCAGCCACCAGGAACCAGGACAAAACGGGTCATTCTGACCTACGACCTTCGACCTACCAGGCCTCCCAGGATAGAGAGCCCCAAAAACACTCCCATCCATGCCTTAATCAAATCCCCGGCCTCATCCTAGACTGGTCCCAACACATGATAAGATCCTCATCCTGTCCTGGCGATTCCCTCAGGATCTGAAAACACAGGTGAACATCCCAAGAAACGCGACGACTGAAAACGGAGCTCTTTAGATGCCATTTTTTCCCCCTCAAACGGTGATATAACAGAATAATATGTGCATGCTGGTAAAGCCCTCCCCCCCCAGCTCCATGTCCTCTGTCATCACCCTGAAATGTCATGTGCCATGGACATTCCAGACCCAGATTCTGGAATGTTCTCAGCCTGGAGCTGTCTTTATTCCGGCAGGCACCTTGGCTGTTTCCGAGGCGACACAAACAATGCTCTGTAACAGCTTAACCGGATGTTTCTAATTTTATTTCGGCATTGCTTATCCATTACGGGGTGACGACGAGCCTGCAGCAGATCCCGGGCAGTACCAGCCAGGGACGCCGGTCCATCGGCAGGCACTCGTACATTTGAACACCGGGCCGCCATTTTGAAAAGTCGATTCATCTAATTGCATGGCCTTGGGTTGTGAGAGGAATCCCACACGAAAACACAGGAACGTACAAAGGCCACATGCATGAGGCATGAGGCAGCAGTACTGACCACAGAGCCACCACACCGTACACAGACCAGTAAATAGGTCTGCTCCCTGCTGCCCCCTGTCTAATCGGATCCGTAACTGTACCTCACGCCCACGAGGATTCACAGACAGGTGACCGGTAGCCAAAGTGTCACCTGAAAGCAAAGCAAGATCTACCTGCTGTCTCCGTGCAAACTGGGGGAGAAGAAACAGCATTTCGGCACAAACAAGTTTCAGCTCTTGGTTTAACCGGGACTGCGGCTCCACGTGGATGATCTCCGCCCCCCTCCCACGGGGATCCGCCGTCTTGGGGCCCCTCCGGAACACCAACATGACTCATCCTGTGTCACGCATCCAGACCAGCACCTGTGTGAGCTCCGGGTCTCTGTCCACAACAGGGAACCAGGAATCGGGGTCTCTAAATAACATTTATGACGCTTTAGAGACTGACAAGCACAGCCTTAAGTTGGGGGAAACGGGGGGGGTGTCAAGGTCAGCAGGTGAGGATCTCTCCTGGCGGAACCAGCGGCTCTGCGCTGTTAGTGGAACGCGGCGTGTCTCGCCTGTGAAAGTCAGGCCACATGTACACAGTCTGCGCAGAGGGAAGTAGACTTCTGATCATACAGACAAGAACATGGGGAGAACAGGCTATGAGAGACAGGCAGCGAGATTTATTACATAAACCGTTATGTCCCCGGCATGCAAACAGCCTTAAATCACAGCTGATTTTGCATGATATCATTACCCTGATCTATCACTGTGGGGCCAAAGCAAAAACTTCGTCCAGATCCATCACCCCGCACGAATCGGGACACCAGGCCTCCTCCGACGCAATCTGTCTGCCTGAAGCTTTGAGACAGCGCTCAGATGTACGGCGTCTAGGAACCGTTGGGCTGTGACGTGGTTTCAGATGCAGGTGACATACAGCAGGTCAATCAGACGGATAAATAAAGACCGGCAAGATCCCACAGTCCCTCAGAGACTTTGTGTGAGAACCAGGGTTTAGCAGAATTTATCACTTTAGCTTTGAGGAAGAAAAGTCTCCACCAGTCGATTAATAAGTTTTCCTCGCGCATCATGGTCAAGTTATAACTGAATTATGCGCTAAAAATAGTTTTGAAATACTGTTACAAACAAGAAATATTAATTTACAAATAAGAGAAAAGTACCTTGAACAGTATCACAGATTATGCTGTTAATTATGGGAGATTTCTTTGGTACCGATAGTTCCCCATATCCCCCTTTTGGTTACAAGTATGTAAATACAGAAGATCCTTGACTTACAATGGGGATATATTATGATTAACCCATCATAGGTTGGAAATATCATAAGTCAAATATGAATATGATACGCTAAACAAGAAAATAACTACTGTCACCAAATAAATTGATAGATCAATAAATAAATACGTACATATTGAGATTAAGTAATACCAGTAACTGAAAAGTAAATGAATGAATACAAGTTTATCCCATCATTAAATGTACAGAACTTTTTGGTTTAAACTAAAAAAACCCTGCATTTACACTCGTGTTCACTACAGTGACTGGAAGCATGGCCGGATGGCTGCGTGACTGCGTGGCTGCATGGCTGCGTGACTGCGTGGCTGCGTGGTGAGTGGCCGGGTGGCCGCGTGACCGCGTGATTGCGTGGCCGCGTGGCCGCGTGACTGCGTGGCTGCGTGGCTGCGTGGCGAGTGGCCGGGTGGGTGCTGCCAGCGGCGACGTCAGTAGAAGGTATCTCCCGGCATATCGCTAGTCCAGGAACAACCAAAGATCTAAAAATGAAAATATGACATACAGTAGGGCAGGCTCGCTCGACGAGAAGACCCATCATGTGACAGTTGTGTGGTCATCATGCTATCATTGACTCCCTGGCCGTGCTCAAAACCTACTTGCATGAGGTTTTTATTAGATCAAACCATGAGAGGAGGGTAAACGTTCTGTCACGACAGTTAGCCGTCCTCGCTAACGCTGTGCAGGCCTCGCTCCGCTAATAGCTAATCCATTCATGATTGTTGTATATGATAACGGAAATCGGTCTGGGGCAGTGCTGTGTCCCTCCTTTACGGCCACCATCCGACGAAGGCGTTTCATCACAAACCCCTGACCCTAAAGCGGTGATTACCGCCGTGGTTCACGTGTAAACATGCACAAACTCAGCCGGAACCTCATCAGGAAACAAAAAAAACGCTAACGCTGACAGCTCCACCGCACTGGCAGCGAGTCACCGCTACCCCGGCAACCGCGGTACTAGTAAATCATCGCCCGATTTAACTGCTGAAGATAATCCTTGTCCTACCGCCGCGAGCAGATGCCACACATGAGTGGGCAGACAGAAAGGGCTCTTTTAGTTCTGTGTGCTACAACGAGGCAGCCTTTCTGCAAAACAATAAAAACAACTTTAGGAATCATCTTTATAAATCACCCACTCAATCACTGTAGGTGTGAATGTTGATCCGCATATGGAAAAACAGAAGAATATGTTTTGGGCCATGTGATGGTTTGGCAGGAATCCGTGCATCTTCTGTAAGCACTTGTCCGATTCAGGGTTGAGGGGGGGTCCAGAGCCTATCCTGGAGGCTACAGCCACAAGGCAGGGGGCAACCCAGGATGGGGTGCCAACCCATTGCAGGGCAAGAAGGAGCTATGAAAAATATTAGAATGATTATATATGCAATAAATGCAAATGGAGATATATAAAGGAACTGTGGTTAAAGTTCATCAGAGAGTGAGCAAGAGAGTTTGTTGCTCATAGCTTGTTGCTCATAATTTTATAATTACGCTCTTTCA